AAAATTCCCCCGAGGACCCCACTATTCCCCAAACCCCCTCAAGACCGCCCCAAATTTCCCCTACAACACCTCCAGAACCCCCAAATCCCCTCCAGACTCAAATATCGCCCTGAAAATCCTCCCTGGACCCCAGCGCCCCTTCAAGGACCCTCCTGGGACCCTCAACCCCTCCCCCCCCCAAACATTCCCCTCAAAATTCCCACAACGACCCCCTCATCCCCCAAACCCCCGACCCAAATTTCCCCCTCAGCCAAAACCCCAATAACCTTCCAAATCATCCCTAGATCCAAACACCTCCCTGAAAAACCCCCCCGCACACTCCAAATTCCTCTCAGAGACCCCTCCCCAGGACCCCAAATCCCCCCACGCACCCCCACATCCTCTCAGGGACCCCTCCTAGCACCCCAAGACCCCTCCCCCGGACCCCCAATCCCCCCGCGCACCCCAACATCCTCTCAGGGACCCCTCCCCGGGACCCCAAAACCCCTCCCCAGGACCCCAAATTCCCCCGCGCACCCCAACATCCTCTCAGGGACCCCTCCCAGCACCCCAAGACCCCTCCCCAGGACCCCAAATCCCCCCGCGGGCCGCGAGTGACGCCCCCCTCGCTCTGCCCAGGCTCCCCTCCGGACCATGGCCGGCTCGGAGCCCCCCGGGCCGGGCAGGACCCCCGGGCCGGGCAGGACCCCCGCGCCTCCCCCGCACCGGCTGCGCTCCCTGGCGCGCTCCTGGCTGGATGAGGACGCTCCCTGGCCGGACGCGGCCCTGGCGGCCGCGGGGGTCGCGGAGACCCGAGCGCAGCTGCTCAGCAAGGGCGGGGGGCGCTCGGGGGGGGTCCTGGCCGGGGTCCCCTTCGCCGAGGCCGTTTTCGGGGTCTCGGGGTGCCGGGTCACCTGGAGGGTCCCCGAAGGGTCGGCGCTGCCCCCCGGGCGGGCGCTGGTGGCCGAGGTGGAGGGTCCGGCCGCGGGGGTGCTGGGGGGGGAGAGGGTGGCTCTCAATATTTTGGGGCGCTGCAGCGGGGTGGCCTCGATGGCCGCGAGGGCGGTGGGGGTGGCCCGGGCTCAGGGCTGGGCGGGGGTCGTGGGGGGCACCCGAAAAACCACGCCCGGCTTCCGCTTGGCGGAGAAATACGCGCTGGGGGTGGGGGGCGCCGACCCCCACCGGGGGGGTTTGGGGGGTCTCCTCCTGCTCAAGGACAATCACCGAGCGCTGGCGGCGGCAGCGGGGGGGCTCGAGCAGGTGGGGACGCCGAATTTGGGGGGACGATGGGGGGCAGTCCTTGAATTGGGGGGGTTCTGGGTGTGGGGGAACGGCAGAATTTGGGCGGTGATGTTGGCAGTGGGTTGTGGGGTGCCCCCCGAGATTTGGGGGCCAGGAACCCCAGTCTGGGGGGAGATGGGCGGGGGAACCCTTGAGTTGGCGAGTTCTGGGTGCGAGGAGCCCCAACCCAAATTTTGGGGTGGGGGGAGGATGAGGGTTGCAGGAATGGGGGGTTTTGGTGGAGGACCCTCGGTTTTGGGGGGCAGTGATGGTTTGGGGTACCCTGAATTGGTGGTGGGGAAGCACAAATCCTTGAAGGGGGTACCAAATTTGGGACAAACTCCTGGATTGGGGTTTTCTGGGCATGGACTGAAGTGGGAGGACCCCTGGATTTGGGGGGGATGTGGGGGGGGGTCCCAGTTCGGGAGGGAAATTGGGGGGCAACACCTGAATGAGGGGGGAGGGCGAATCATGTGTTGGGTAACTCTAAATTTGGGTGTTTCTGGGTGGGGCAACCCCAATTTTGGGGTCGGGGGACACCCTTGAACTGGGGGGATGTGGGGAGAAGACCCCCAGTTTGTGGGAATCACTGGAGGGGGGGTGATGAGGGGACCCCAATTTTGAGTCAACCACGTGGGGGGACCCCCTATTTTACCCTGCCCCATGTTTGGTCTGAGGGGCTGGGTGTCACTCTGGGGCTCCCCCTGACCCCCCCCCCCCCTTCCCCAGATGATTTTGGGGGTGCGCCGGGCCGGGGGCTTCACCCACAAGTTGGGGGTGGAGTGCTCGAGTGCAGAGGAGGCGCTGGAGGCTGCAGGGGCTGGGGCTGACATCGTCCTGCTGGACAACCTGGCCCCCCAGGTGAGCCCCAAAATGGGAGGGGGGCCAAAATTGGTGAGACCCCCAAGTGTGGGGGGGTGTTGGACTTTCAAAATGAGGCTAAACCCCAAAAATGGGGCACAAATCTCCCAATAAGTGTGGGGGGAGGAGGGGTAATGCCATAGATTTGACCTCTGCCCCCACCAGGTGAGTTCCCAAAATCTGTCAGTGGCCCCCAAGAATGGGGGGACCCTCCAGGTGTGAGGCTGCACGCCAAAAATGGGGGTCTGGACCCTTTAAAACGGGAGGCAGACCAGTGGAATGGGTTGAAGACCCCGAAAAGTGGGGGTGACCAGGCTGAGCCCCCAAAATCCGGGGGAGTGGCAGAAATGGGGGACGCCCAGGGGTGAGGCTGCACCAATGGAACGGGAATCCGCTGGAATTGTGGGGCAGCCCCAAAGACAGGAGTGGGAATCCCAATTTTGGGGGGTCAGAGGGTTGGGTAACCCCAGTTTGGGGTGTTTTGGGTGGAGGTGACTTGGGGAGTTCAGGGGGGACCACAACGTGGGGCTCAGTGGGTGGGAAGAACCTGGATTGGAGGGGTTGGACGGGGGCGGGGCACAATTTTGGGGGGTTCTGAGGGGGGTGAACCCCAATTTTGGGTGGTCAGTGGGTTGGAGATCCCAAATTTGGGGTTGTTCTGAAGGTCAGCGGTGGGTGGTGTCCCAAATTGGGCAGATGTTGGGTGTGAAACCCCTATTTTTATTAGATTTCTGGTTTAAGGGGAACAACCCTCGATTTGGAGGGTTTGGGGGAGGACACCCCAACTTTGGGTGGAGTAATCCCTGAATTGGTGGTTTTTTTGCAGGGGGAGGACCCAAATTGGGCAGATTTGGGAATCCACCGATTTTTTGGGTGGGGGGGAATTCTGCACTGTGTAGCATCCATTTCCATGGGGGTTTTCTGTTCAGTGTTCCCCCGAATTTTGGGGAGGGGGTGCTCCCAGCTGAGCGGGTGTCCCCCTCCAGGAGCTGCACGCGGCGGCGGCGCAGGTCAAGGCCGCGCACCCCGGGGTGACGGTGGAGGCCAGCGGGGGGATCGTCCTGGAGACCCTCCCCCAGTTTTTGGGGCCCCACATCGACGTGGTGTCCATGGGGTGTCTGACCCACAGCGCCCCCGCCCTGGACTTCGCACTGCGGGTGCTGGAACCCTAAAAAAATCCATCCTGGGACCCTGAAAACCCAGCCCAGAACCCCCCAAAATCCAACCGGGTACCCCGGAAACCTACTCCGGGAAGCCAAAACCGAGCCTGAGATGGCCGAATCCATCCTGGGGAGAGCGAAACTCGCCGTGAAACCCCAAAATCCACCCTGGAAACCCCAAAATCCACCCTGGGAATTCCCAAAACCCCAAAGCCCCCTGCTGAGAGGATGAGAAAATTTGGCACTGAGTCCTCCCAGCCACCAGGGGGCGCCAATGCCTGAGACACCCCCAAATCCTGGGCCTCCAAAATCCATCTCGGGACACACAGAATTAATCTTGGACCCCAAAACCTAACTTAGAACCCCCTAAATCAACTCTGGGGCCTCCAAATGCCACCCTGGGGACCTTCAAAACCCACCCTGAGACCCCCAAATTCTCCCTGAGACCCCACAAAGCCCACCCTGAGGATCCCAAATCCCCATCCTGGGGTCCTCCTATTCACCTCCCCCCTCTTTTGGAGACCCAAAACTCCACCCGGAGATCTCCCCATCCCCCTTTTCTCTTTGTACCCCAAAATAAACCCCAACCTCACCTTCCCCTCGTGTCCCTCCAGGTTTTTCACGGTGTCACTCTCAAAATCCGCCATCGAGAGCAGAAAAAGCCAATTTAGAACCAAAAAAAGGGGGGGGTTGTGACCACTGAGCCATCTCCAAGCTGGTCAATACCTGGACCAGCGTTGGCAGGGAACCCCCAGCTCACCTGGGATAGAAACCAGAGATCCCTTGGCTTGGTGAGGCGTAGGAGACGGGTTTGGGAATCAAGAGAGGACTCAACATGAGTTAGCTGCTTGTTCCAGGTTATTACAGTTTTAGCTACGTTTTTATAGCGTTTTGGGAAGGTAACGTGTGATCTGTATTTTATTAGGATTGGATAATTGCTGGTTTTCACGCCTTAACTTCTACATTTCTATTCTTAATGTAATATAATGTAATATAATATAATGTAATAATATAATGTAATAATGTAATGTAATATAATATAATATAATATAATATAATATAATATAATATAATATATTATAATATAATATAATATGTTATAATATAATATAATATAATATAATATAATATAATATAATATAATATAATATAATATAATATAATATAATATAATATAATATAATATAATATAATATAATATAATATAATATAATATAATATAATATAATATAATATAATATAATATAATATAATATAATATAATATAATATAATATAATATAATATAATATAATATAATATAATGTAATATAATATGTTATAATATAATATAATATAATATAATATAATATGTTATAATATAATATAATATAATATAATATAATATAATATTATATAATATTATATAATATAATACAATATAATACAATATAATACAATATAATAATACAATATAATACAATATAATACAATATATTTCTATTATCCATCTCATAACACCCAAGCTCTGTAAGATTTTTTTTTAGTGAAACTTATACATTAAGTGGTTATATAGGGTACATTCTGCAGAATTCACACCCTGACAAACTTCACAAGATACAGTCACAAAATCCATTTTGCAGATCTCTCATCCCAAATTCTCATCCATTCTTCACTGTCTCGTTAACAATTAGTCATTTTGTCCAATGAAAATGGAATTTATCATTTCTTTGATACAATATTCTGCCAAGGGCTCGTGCTAGCTCAAAGTCAGGGTTGAGACAAGAGTTTGAAGGGCCCAGAGCCACTTGAGGGGTCCCAGATCCCAGTTTAGGGGTCCCAGATCCCAGTTTGAGGGTCCCAGATCCCAGTTTAGGGGTCCCAGATCCCAGTTTAGGGGTCCCAGATCTCAGTTTGAGGGTCCCAGATCTCAGTTTGAGGGTCCCAGACCCTGTTTAAAGAACCCAGATTACAGTTTGAGGGTCCCTGACCCCAGTTTAGGAGTCCAGGACCTGAACCCCCAATTTGAGGGACCCAAACTCCAGTTTAGGGGTCCCAGATCCCAGTTTGGGGGTCCCAGAACCCAGTTTGGGGGTCCCAGACCCCGTTTAAAGAACCCAGATTAGAGTTTGAGGGTCCCTGACCCCAGTTTAGGGATCTGTCATGGAGTTACTTTACCTTTAAGAAAGTTTAAGTTGCTGGTGTTGTGAATTCATGTTGTAAATATTGGCTTTTCACAATTATTCTGATAAATATATATATTATATGCTTTCACTGTATTTTCTCTCTTAGCAAGTTATAGGCTTAGATAGGAACTCTGAATGGTAAGGATGTGTTTCATCCGGACAAGGCAAGACAATGGGAGGATCAAGCTGTGGAAAACAGGCTGTTATCAGCAGCAGGAAATGGAGAGCAAACTGTTATCAAAAAAAACCAAAAACGGTACCAGGACGTGGGCAGGGGGGAAAGATAAGCTCAGCTGCCCTCAGAAGAAGGATGAGGGGCCCAGACCCTTATCAACAACTGACCATCTGCAGAAAAAAGGAAACCAGACTCCAAAAGAATGCTGACCAGCTAGAATAATGATGACCAGCAAAAAAATTATGATGACCAGCAGAAACTGAGACTGTGCAAAAGCATGATCTAAGAAGGCGGAACCAGGGAGGGGACATGCTTGAATATGCATTAACCCCTCACAGCAAGGATGGGATAAAAGGGGTATCCATGAGATACCAGGTGTG